GGAGCCCTGCATTTAGTTTTACGGCCTTCACTGGCCCTTGGTCTATGCTATCCTAAACACAGCACAGATGATATTTTTTTTCTAGTTTTGTAATATAAGATAAATACTCATTTTATAAATAAATGGTGATAAATGTGATATAATTTAATTCTAAATATATGAAGAGTACTAAGGAAAACTGTATAAACCACAAAATAGTGTCAACACTGCTGTGGCAAAGCATATTTTAGTCAAATGCTACATACCAACACCAATACGAACATTCCGCAGCGACAGGAAGACTCCCAAAGGGGATCCAACAGCAAAGAATGTGTCAACCTGAGTATCAAAAAATGATGTGATGATGGTATAAACATGTCAAAAAATAAAAGCATCAGTGAACAATAACAACGATAGTTTACCTTAAAATTTAGTTTAGTGTATCTAATACGTGGTCTGTAGGGCTGACTTGTGCTACCTTGCCCTATGTTAAGTTTGCCTGATACTAGGCTCACTGTATCATTAGCATCTTTATCTGGCAATAATATACATAAATATCTGATTAAACCTTCACAAATACAAGCATATACAGTCTCCAAACAAATTTCATGGAACAAAAGCAACGAGTTACCTTGATGAGACTGAACACTACTGATGCTTTGAATCACTGAATCACTCTGTCGCTCAAGTTCCATTAGTTTAGCTTTAAGATGGCTCACCTGCAGTCAACATAGAAATCTAGGCATCAACACGATATGCAAATTAAATTCGCACAGTTGGTGCTCCAAGATAACCCTAAATTTTGGGTTCTAAAACAAGTTCTTCAGTTTTGATCATATATTTGGAGCCTTCTTATGCAATTACATGGATCCTAGATGATAAGCTCATAAAATTTAGCCAAATTCAATAGATCCACACCTCTTCTTCTAGTGATGAGATTAATCTGTCTTTGTCAGGGACCTCATGGAGTTCCTTGGCGGATCTTGAAATGCACTCATCAGCATCTTTTGTGCTTACAGCTGGAGTAGCTCCTTCAGTATATGTCATTTGATGATTCTCAACCTGATTTTCGACTTCAGTTTGCAACCCATCAACTGGAATAGGTGATTCAAGTGCATCATCATTGTTTGGCACATTTTCAAGCACACATGGCAGAACAGTCTTGTCTGTAAGTGAATGATCAGTTCTGGTGCTCTCTTCATCCACACGATTTACATTATCTACACATGAATGCCCTGAAGTGGAAGAAGTATCATGCTCTTTTACACCAGAGTCATGATCAATTGTGTTGGGTCCTTTTCCTACTTGGCCTTCATCAGACGAAACTTCCATCTTAAAATAATCTGTTGGAAATGGGGCGGAAAGGGATTCTTGGTGGCAAAGTATATCATACGTTAGAACACTTCCCAACGAATGGCCATATAATGATACCTGCCAAAAAAAAGCAGTTGTTTAACCAACAGAAAAGAAGTGCAATCAGAATAAGAATTGTAGTGCAAGCTATGAACAGCAAACCTTTCCACTGTAACCAGGATTTCTCTTCAGAAACTTCATATACAGTTGGTTCAACTGACCCGAGACCTGTTATAAATTTGAATTGTTACTTATTATCATTACTTAAAAAGACTCGGTGAACAGGGTGATGGTTCGCCCCTTTCCACCTAAAAATGCAGCAAAAAAAACACGGCCATGACTTTTTTTCCCAAACTATCATGACACAGAAGTTTCTAACAAAAAAGAACTGATCTGACCCATATACTACATGTCACAAATTAGCTGTTGGTTTATATCTGAATTTTCCTTGAAAAGCGACCGGGCTTTTGTTTCATAATTCCGTCACTTTGCTTTCTCCTCAACCCAACATATGACATGAGCTTTGTGTGGGTTCCATGTTCTAATGTAGAAATTTTTGAAGCAGAATATAAGAATCAAAATATACTCGAAGGCCAATGTTTGAAACTAGGAACTACTAAAAATATGTTCTATTACTAAAAAGAAATCAAGGAAACAATGGGAAATAACCAGAAATAGTGACGATAAAGCAAAATACCGAGTCAATTATATGCTGGCAGTAGATAGGACTCATGTAATATAGAACATCATGAACGGTGGCGCCTAACGCTACACGAAGACCTTTAACTCCATCCAAAGTGATCTTCTCGACTGTGTTTTCACCACCGAGCTTCAAACTCTTCCTCCACTGCAATAATAATCATTGATAGTAAACATAAAAGTCGCCAGTGAAAACATAGATGAAACAGGATTTCATATCAGGATAGAACAGAAAGGGCATCATGCTGCTCTGCAAGTGCAATATACTTAGCTACACACATAAGCTACAGTTGTTGTGACTAAATAATTATATCTGCCTGAAAATAATAAATAATGTATACAAATGATCAATACCAATCTGCTATATAAATTAATGAAACATAGAAGTCACAATTCAAAAGTAACATGATGCACATGTTTAAGTTTCAGTGGATGATGAAGCTGTTTAAAATGAGATTGTATGTTAACTCAGCAAGCATGAACCAGGATACAAGCTTCCTTTATCAGAGCATGGTTAATAGTAGAGCCAGCTGCTGGCTATCTCTAGTAGCCATGCTATATATAGCCAGGTCAACTGTTTTGTCATTTGCAACAAGGCAATCAATGATGAATAACAATGCTAGAGATTTCCACAGATCAGAAGTAGTGACTTTGAATTCCGAAAATATATAAATCTTACCTGACAGGGAATAAATAGGACCCTCTGTGTACTTCTTTGATAAGGAGTTAAGTATCTATCTGCTAGGTTAGCGGTCACACGGCGGAAATCGACTACATCATCAACAAGATTAGCTTTCTCCAATCTCTGTCCGATACCATGAACCATGAATACCAAATGACCAACTGGAACCTATTAAGAGATAATAACATACATCAGCAACTAAAATTAGCCTTCAACAGAAGACTTTTTGAAGTTCATGGGAAATTCCTTAAACATGCATGTAAGGGGAAACATGGAAGGCTTATATCTTCCATGAATATGGCAATCACAGATGTAAGGTGGATGGCTAAGGTTAAGCAATTTGGAACTATGGGATAAATACTACTACCTCCGTCCCAAGATAACTGACGTGGTTTTAGTTCAAATTTTAACTGAAACCACGTCAAGTACATTCATGAACAATTATGTACAGGTGCACTCTATGTCACTTAGCATATAATGCTCACATCCTTTTATGGTATATGTTTGGTTTGCGGAACCATCTCATACTCAGATGGATTGGGCCATCATGGGGCCAACCCATAATTTTAGCGATTCGACTACATTTCTAGTCTTTCTAACACCCATAATTTAGTGATTCTACCTCATTTCTCATTTCTCTAAGAGAATGAGTGCTCGTGAGGGGTGGTATGGTGATGAACTGATTCATTCCTTACCTCGAGCAAGCAAAGACATGAGGAGCATTCCTCGAACCAAACACCCCGTTGGTATCTTACATGCTAGCCATATGTCTAAATATTATTATAAAATACTCCCTCCGTCCCAAAATAAGTGTCTCAGCTCTAGTACAACTTTGCACTGAAGTTAGTACAAAGTTGAGACACTTATTTTGGGACGGAGGGAGTATTATAAGAAAATCTCTGATGACATGAAGGATGTTGATAGATGCAGAATGGAATTCAGATGAGCCAGATATTCCAGTGGAGCATAATACTATAAACTATTTTTCTGCAAAAAGTGTGTATATATAAATCCTTTGGTTGGGAGATAATATCATAAAGGCTACTGTGATAAGAGAACAGATGTCTGAAACAATAAATACCTGAGAGCAGTAATCATCTGTTTCCTCTTCTTTCTGTTGACGCAACTCATCCTGGCAGAGAATCAGATAACAATTATACACAATGCAGACACTGAGGCAGATTCGCATAAATAAGAAGATAGCTCAAAGATTACAAAGAGAACCCCCGAAAAAGGTGTCAGGTTCTCATTCAGTCATTCTAGATTTGTACTAGCAGGTGACCGGTGCTGATACGAAATCTCAAACTGAGCAAGAACAGTACGATTGCACTGCAAAATTAGCTCAAAAAGACTATGCTCCTTTTTTGCTGCAAAAACTGATGCAACAATATGACTAGTGAGTGACAAGACCACAACCTTCAGCTATGCAGTCCATAGTATGTCTGTCCACAGTTCATCTTAAGAGCAAATAAGATGCAACTTTAGCTAGTTTATCAAAATCCTCATAAGCCTCTACGGCCAAAGCGTAAACCGCATAGAAGCCAACATCCTGGGCTGATAAACTAAACTAGATAATATCCCATGCGTTGTTACGGAAATTTATGACGATAAATTGTCGATTATAAAATTAGGATATATGATAATAACACCCCTCCACATTCTTGCCATGTGAACGGTAGCAGACTTAACAATAAATGGATAGTACTGCACTTTATAGTGCCTTGTGACCTTCTGTTTTAGTCAAATTATTTGTTGCTGAAAAAAATAAAAATTGATGATGTGGACGACTTACGTGTGCTTGATTATGTGGAGGGCTTGCATGTGCTTGAAAACGGGATCATCTACTTAGAATAATATAGATGAGCAATAAACACTAAGATTTAACAAGACAGAAATTAGTCCAAAAAGAATTGGTTCCTTTTTTGCCGCAAGAACTGATGCAACATCACAGCTAGTGAGTGACGAAATCAGGATCTTCAGCTCTGCAGTCTATAGTATGTCTATCAAACCTCATATAGTCCTTAGCCATCTCAAGAGGTGCTAAATCAAATTACATTTCAATAGTCAACACGATAAATAAAATACAACTTCAACTAATTTGCCAATCCTTCTTGATGTTGGATCATACGATTCTACAGCCAAAGTGTAAAACACATCGCGGACAATATTTTGTTTCTCACAAACCAAATGGGCAATAAGCATCAATATTTGCCAGGACAGGATATAAACAGTTCAGGTATCTCATCATTTCGGGCGATAAAAAAAATTTACTTCTTTAAGCCATTCATAAAGTGAGGTCAGGAGCACTTGATATACATACATAACATTAGAACACTTTAACATGGTTCCTCACCTGGGTAGGATTTGCAGATCCAGAAGAAGAGAAACCACGCCTTAATTTGATTGTGTTGCTGCCTAGTTTAGGACCTGTATCAAAGACAAGCCAAGCTTCCCAAGTATCATCCTCTCCTGTAAAAAGAGCATGCAATCCCTGCACAAAATATACTTCAGCCTTCATCCAACTCTTTCTCAGTTCAGAAGAGATTATTGGAAAATTACATACCAGTGTACTTCCTTGGAGATCGACCCGCGCAGCAAACAGGCCTGAAGGTTGAAATTTACGACGATGCCAGACCTATTTTGACAATGATAGGGTGTTCAACTGTTTTCTGAACCAGGGAAGGGAGTACGGATGCTGAAAACCCAAACACTGTACCATGACAACTTTTATTTGACAGAAATGGTATATCCACCCCCTCTCATGGCACACATATAGTTAAATAACATTGTTTGCCATCATTAACATGATACCCACTGTTCAGAATTAAGCTCACAACCCACTGAACTAATTTGCACTATCTAGTGAAACAGGTTTTGGTTTTTTTTTCCTACAGGAGTGATGGCCAAGTATTATACCCGATGACTAGTGAAGCAAGTTTGGTATATACACTAGTACATTATCTAGTCGAAACTATAAGAGTACTATCCAGAACAGTGAAGACAACGTATTGATCCCGAATATCACAATTTACCAGATAATGTTGCTAAAGAATAAAGACACAGCAGATTTACGTGATAATGTTGCTAAAGAGTAAACACACGGCACATTTTCATACCTGGTACTTATATGCTAACTCAAGTTGTTCAGAAACATCTTCACGCAAGGGAATCCAATCAAGACCTCCTTTTCGAGCAAACCAGTGGCCCCTCAAAACACGTCTATTCTCACCATTCCAATATACAGGGAAGCAATGACGTCTCATCAAATCAACCTGCAGTATAATTATTGACCGGGTAGGAGTAATAAGTAACACTAGTATGGTTGAAAACTAGAATATATAAAAGATTTAAGATGGCTATAAGGTAGGGCGACTCCTAATGCGTTCCCAGTGCTGGGCGGGAGCTCTTTCCCTAGCGACACATGTCCCCGGTTTTCATCTGGTTTACTGCTGGTTTTTCTCCAGTGTTTGCTACCTGTTTTTATGGGTGTTGGTTTGGTTGGTTCACCGTCGTCCAATCACCGTTTTGACTCAGCATCAAAAGGAATCCACCGCTTAGGCTGAACCTTGTTCCTCTTTCTTCTACGTACTCTCAAAGACCTCTTCCGTTTATTCTTCCTCATCTCTAATCTCTCCCCTTTCTTCCTCCGCCGCCGCTCCCTATCTTCCTTCACGCCACCCACCACCCCGCCGCCGTAAGCCGCCGCCGAGGCCCCATCTCCCCTCCTGGCGCCGGTCCTCCATCTCCCCTCCATGGAGCCGAGGTGGAGGCGCCGGTCACCCATCTCCCCTTCTAGCATGGTAAATTGAACCATTTTCTTTGGGAGTCTTGTCTCGAACTTCAGACAATATCTTATAAACGCAATAGAAACACTATTTTCAGTTAAAATTGTTATTGCATTTACACTGTTCTGGAAAATCTTATAATAGTACTGGCAAAACATTGTTCCAGTTTAATGTACAAGTTCACAACCACCATTGTTACATGATGTAGGCCATTAGCTCATAAGTAAAAAAAGATTGTACGTTGGTGCTACTTACAAAGTGTAGTATAAACTGTCGTTGTACCGCGGTTGGGGTTCAATTGATCCCAACTTTAACTGTTGCTAAGTTTTACGATGAACTCCACTGTACAATATACAAGTTTCTCTGAGAGTTTATCCCAGAAAAAAATTGTTGGATTGATAAGGAGAGAATTTTCAAATAGAAGGGAGAACCTCCTTACAAAACTGTTGTTGACCTAGCATTTTGAAAGCCTACTTGAATTCTATGTCAGATGTTACTAATGTGGATATGCTGCTGACTTCCAGTTCAGAAACTAAGCAAGTGCAATGGTAAGCAATATGTTTCCCTTCACAAGTTGAATATAGTTCACAGTTGCTTGAATGTACTATCTTATAATTCAATAAGACAACTATGCCCAGTTTTATGATTCTACAAGTTCTACTTATAATTCAATACAACAACATATATCCTCAACTAACTAATTCCTGTACACTTTTATGTTGTATAAGAATAAGATAATGTGATTTCACCCTGATTAAATTTACTGGTGTGATTAGCCAAGTTGGTATTGTTACCAATTAATAGTGTCTGAATTTTTTTTCCTTTCGTAATCATCCTGTCTTTAACTTTGTGTGCCACTAGCATATCGTTCCATGGCTAAGATGCTAACATACTAAGTTTCTTCCAACAACCCAGCTTTACAGAAATTAGGTCGTGAAACTAAGCAATTTCAGTTTGGTAACCCTACTTGATGTTCTATCAATTCTTGATAAATTTGATAACCTCTGCTGCAGCGCATCCCATAATGTGTTTTAGGTTGGGGTCATCACCGACTATTTAGGCCAGACTGTTACAACAAAGGGGCACTAAGTTCTTTTTCTTATGAATAGTGCATAGCAAAGAAACCGAGAATTGTTACAAGTCCTAACACCTAATTCAAATCTGTGTACTGAAGGACACTTATAATTGATTATATGGTAATGATTCCCCTTAAAATATATTCTTGAATATGCTATTAATATATTTGTTTCTTTTCTGCCACCTTAGTTCAGCGAAACATGAATAATGCTATATGTTATATGGACATCGTTTTAGTTTAACCTTGCAAATTCAACGTCCATTTCTATACAGACAAAAATCTACTGCTACTTTTTCTTGGCAGATGATTGACCACCTTGCACTGAAGCAGTATAGTTCCTTAAAGTTGGTTTACGAGGTCTTCTCATTTATCAATCTCTTAGTATTTCTCTGTCTTCATTTTCAAATGTTCTAGGTTTCTCTTTTAGAAGTACACACGTTCTGAATGGCAAAACTAGAACATTCAAGCATAGTTTGACAGCCGACTAATTAGGTTGTGGGGTAGCTGTGCTCATTTAGCTTTTTTTGGCCTTACTTATTTGGTAGAGATGAGAAACCCACTGATTTGTAACTGATTGTTGTGCATTTCTAAGTGGATATCCATCCTCCAACATTATATGTTACCTTCCATCTTGAAAGATATTCATTCAAGTAGATGGCATTCTCTGTGGTACTGCTTTTCTTATGATGATCGTGCTGCAGATTTCCTAGGCTAATAGTAAGATACTTTGATTCTGAACTTGCAACGATTATAAAGTTAACTTCTCGCGGAGACATATGCGTTGAATTTCTGTTAATGATGCATCAGATTTTGATAGCTAGACAGTAGACAGAAGTTGGAAATGTCAAATAATAAACAACTGATTCCAGATTCTGATTATGTTTTCATGGTCTGCTAATGTGTAATGAAAAATTCTGGAATCTGTCAAAAAGACTTCTTCGCAACCAGCTCAACCTCAATACACTGCCACCCTTCTCTTACTTTACAAAAGAACACGCGCGGGATCAACCAAGGGCACGGCGTGCCGCCGCGCCTTCTGTCTGCTAGTATTGTTATATGGCTGTAATATGGTATTGCTTTTTTTACTTTCAAGTATGTTAACTAATGATTTTTTTTGTCATAACTGCGTACACTGAGTAGAATGTAATATGGATGATAGATCTATAACTGTTTTGCAAACGAAGAAGAGAGCCTGGTAGCGTATGAGTAGTGACGGATATACTAGATAAAAATACCAACCTCATATAGTCCACCTTTCACAGGAACCCCAACCCGCTCCTCCTCCACCTTATACAAATATTCAGAGTCTGACATATCAGCTTTAACCAAGGAACCTGTTGGCCCTTCACTGCATTCCGCATACTCCCTCCACCAGTACCCAAGTAGTGATTCCTCTCTCTACAAACCAGTAAGACAATGATGATATAACAAATATGAAGATTATAACCCCCTTTACATTATAAAGGGGATACAGACTAAAAAATAAACCAAGTCAAAGAAAATAAACTAGCACAGCCCAAACCTATAATAACACACTGGAGATCCCTTGTGCTGCCAATGTTATTGCTTCCAAGTGAACTGTATTTTCAAAGCTGTAGCATTGCACCTAGCTATAGCTAAGTCACTACAGCTTATGTGATCTTGCGTTTATTGCAGCTAGCTATAGCTAAGTTACTACAGCTTATGTGATCTTGCGAATAAACGTTCAGCAGTAAATAATCGGCATTTAAAGTAGTGACCTCTAAGAAAGACGCCTCCAACGCCAAACAGTCCCTCATGCTGAACCTGAAATAGTCTCCTTTCCCAACTATCTCCGTCCGCGGAACTGAAGAAGAGAGCACTGCATCAACAGCCAACCACACAAGACCATCAAGGGTCAGTTCAGTAACAGGTTGAACTTACACATCGTTAATTCAGCAGTTCACTTCACACGTTGACTGGCCGCTGCACGGATCATAAATTACGAGCCCAATTGGCAGATTTAGGGAACCGCACAAATGTGCGTTTTGGCATTACATCACGCCATTCGTTAAGAGTCAAATGAAAAACCGGTTCACATGAAACCTACGACCCAATTAGCGTCAGGTGATCATGGGATCAGCGAACCAGGGCACCGATGATGTGTACGACGCATCAGATTAATTTGCAGGCCTACTGGTACATGAAACTGGATCGGCTGGAGTAAGCAGGAGGGGAGGGAGGGAGGAGGGTGCACCTCTGTCCCCGAGGGGGAGCTTGCAGAAGTACCAGCGGACGTCCTCGCCGTCGGAGGGGCTCTTGGTGCGAGCGAGGTACTTGCGGCGGGCGGCGCAGTTCTCGATCGCGTCCTCGAGCCTAGCGATGTTGGACGGCGTGTTCCGCAGCAAGTCCGGCGAGGCGCCCTCCGGGTGGGGCGCGTGGCTCGTGGACGCGTCGTCCCCCGGGGACGTGTTCCGCGCCCAGCTCTCGTCCGGCCTCGCCATGCGCGCCGCTTCGAATTCGGGGGCGCCGGCGACGGAAGGGGGCGAGGAGGCGGCGGTGGCGGTGGAACGGGAGTGAGACGGCGAGGTGGGTCTCCTCGCTCGCCGTGGGTCGGAAGGAAGGAAGGAACGGGGCGGATCCGGATGGTTCCTCCCGGTCTGACTCACACCCCCAGCTCAACCGCCGGTCGTGTGCTCGTGACACGGAAGCGGCGGACCAGTGGTTCTGTCTTCTGTGGTTGCACCGCACCAGTTTACGTTATTTTTCCTTTTAACACTTTGTTTTTGACAATAGAAGGCCCACGAAGGACCCAACATTTTGGAAATCCAATTCTACTCCGATGAATAATATTTGAGAATGCCGGCAGATGCGGGGGTTTCACAGAATGGAACATTCAAGTATTTGAAAGAAAGGTTATGGCATAAAATACAAGGCTGGATGGCAAAGGTGTTGTCTTCTGTCAGTAAAGAGGTATTGGTGAAATCAATAGCGCAAGTTGTCCCTATTTTCTCAATGTCCTGCTTCAAATTACCGAGAAGTTTGTGTGAGCATCTTACATCCATGATCAAGTCTTTTTGGTGGGGGAGCAAAAGCGGACAAAGCCGTACTAAGTGTCATGGGACACAATGTGCATGCCCAAATATATGGGGGACTAGGTTTCACATACTTTGAAATATTTAATCTGACACTGTTGGCTAAGCAGGTGTGGAGAATTCTTGATAACCCTGAATCTTTAAGTGCCCGGATTCTGAAGGCAGTATATTTTCTTAATACGGATATTTTGAGTGCTGAGGTTGGTTCACACCCGTCTCAGAAATGAAGGTCCGTGAAGGACGGGATGTATCGAAACAGGGACTAATAATGAGAATTGGCAATGCAGTGTCTACAGAAATATGGAACATGAATTGCATACCAAGGCCAGAGAATATTCGTCCGATAGTGTCATTGGTAACATATCCACCGCAACTTGATAGTGAGTTAATAAATGGTCCAGAGGCAAGGTGGGATGCCGCTCTAATTGGGCATGTGTTTCTTCTTATGTTGCAGCGGCAATCATGCAAATTTCAATATGCACCCGCCACATACATGATTTTTGGTAGTGGAATTTTGAAAAGTCAGGGCGTTTTTCTGTTCGTTCGGCATATAGGATGGTTATGGAAACCAAGAAGAGGGGAGAAGACTGGCTAGAGGAGAGGTCGGGTTCTTCAAAGACGGCTGTTGAGAGGAGATCGTGGGACACTCTATGGCATCTGACGATTCCAGCAAAGCTTAAAATGTTCTTGTGGAGGCTAGCCTGACACTCCCTTCCTACGGAAGATGTGCGAAAACACGGAAACATGACTACGGAGGACAGTTGCAGTGTGTGCGGGATGCAAGATTCGTGGAAGCATAGCTAGATTGAGTGCACAATGGCAAGATGTGTGTGAGCATTAGTAGACCCATTGTTACTTGAGCATATGATTGCCACTACAGAGCTGTTGGCAAGGAGTTGACTTTTTGCGATGTTTGATGCTCTTTCCCACGATGACATCACTCGTTTGGCAGTGACAATGTGGGCAATATGGACAGCCAGGAGGAAACTTATTGATGCGAAGCATCCCTCGACTACTCGCACCAACACTCCATCACCACCGCAAGCACCAAGTGGACCAATGACAAGAGCACGTGTACGCGCCATCGAGAACGAGGTTGACTCTCTCCTCTTCGAGTTTCGTTCGAATTCACATGAGAATTGGGTTCTACCTCACAAGGACATGTTATGCATTTTAGGATACATGGGATGATCATGAGAAGGAGAAGACGGAGTCTCGAGCACCCATGGAGTAAGGGAGAGGAGAGAAGATCGAGGAGAAGAAAGGGCTGCAGCCCCTGGACACCCCGGGTGCCCGGCTGCCCCGACCCCGGGTGCCCAGCCACAGCCTGGGCAGCGCCCCAGCCGGCCCCGGGTGCCCGGCCTCGCCAGCCCGCCCCGGGTGCCCGGCGTGCCCCTGGGCCGCGCCCAACCACACCCTGGGTGCCCGGGCCATCAACCCCGGGTGCCCGGTCGGCCTCGCCCCGCCACCTGCCACCGCCCCGGGTGCCCGGCCTGCCACCAGTCGGCGCCCCTGACCGGTCCGGGTGCCCGGCCGATTTGACCCCGGGTGCCCGGACCCTTCCTCCGTGGCCGCGTTTTTGGGGATTTTTTGGTCCTTTGTGTCCCTTTTCTCCAATGTTTCGTCCCTAGACTATATAAGTGCATCTCCTAGGTCATTTGTGGGTTAGCAAAGATATTAGAACACAAAAGAGGGCTTTGCTCATCTTCCTCCTTTAGGAGATCTAGACCTCCACTTGGAGAAGCTCCTCTTGGAGATCAAGCCCTCCTCTTGGAGAAGATCCTCTTTGGATGCAAGACCTCACCTAGTGAGAAGAACCTTACCCTAGTGCTATTATCCTTGGATTGATCTTGTAATCTTGTGGATCTCATGTATGCTACTCTAGTGGATGTGATATTTGGGTTTGTTTGAGAGTTTTGTTCTTGTGTTCTTGAGAGTTTTTCCTCCTTTTCCCCCTCCAAGTATGAAAAGATCCCACCTAGGGTTTGACCCTACAACATATTGGTATCATGAGCAAGGTTTATTCACATCTTGGAGTCCCATCCCCCCATTCGCTAGCTTGATTTTGTTGTTTTTCGTCCAAGTTCGAAAATCCCCACAGAAATAGCCCCAAAAAAATTTCTTGCAATTTGTTGGATTTTGTGAGATTTGGTTGTTTTGGTCCATGGATTTGATGTTTGGCAAGTGGATCTAGCCCCACCCCAACAATCCCCACCCTTCCCACCACGAAAATCGTGGAATTTTGCATCTCCCCCAAATTTTCCGCCCATCCCGAAGACCACCGGGTGCCCGCACCTCGAACCCCCGGGCCATTTCGCCCAGCCACCCCCGGGCACCCGCACCTCACACCCCTGGGTGCCCGCACCCCCCAAATCAGCCCACTACCAACACCATTTTGGCCATAATTTCCACCTCCCAAGTCCGTTTTTCGTGTTCTTTAGCTCGTTTGGAAGCTCTTGACATCTCCCATCCACTCATCCCACTACCACCACCATTAGCCCCCATCCAAAAAATCATCACAAAAACACCCACCTTCCGCATTTGACCGATTTTGTGTTGCCATTTCCGTTTCCTAGGTGTTTCGGCTACTTAGGAGCGTGTGACATCGTCATCACCATCATCGACGCGGAGCAATCTTCAGCGCTAACCATGAGAAAGGAGGGTAACCTCGACGACACTTACTTCTTACCTTGCCTTTTTGCATTGATAGCCCGAGCCACTTTGCGTTGCTTACCCATTGAGACTAGCAAGTTGAGAATTGTCAGGCCACGCTACTGTGCACCGTAGTGATTGTGTTATCATCCTTGTGCCATAAGTCTCTCCCGTGCATATCATATATCCTTATCTCATATCATACTCGGCTCGAGCATCAAGCATAAAAAAAGAGAAGAAAAGCTTTTAAGCAAAAGAGGAGAAACAAAGAGCTTGTAAGCAATACAGTTGAGCCATTTGCAGACCTATATCATCTTGGTCATCGCATATATACCATAGTTGGGATTCAAGATGGCACGGTTCTCTCATAGGTAGGTGCACAAGCGTATCTTGCCCATTTGAGCAATCGAGCTAGTGTCTCTCGATCATTCGCACAACAAGAGCATTTTCCGTGGTTGCACATTTCGAGCTCACTCCTTGGTTGTGCGGATCCCATCTATCTTCCGTGCGTGTGTACCTAGTGATACCTTTGGGTTTGATCTATTTGCTTTACTTGCATTTTTGTGAACCTTCTCAACCTTATCGATATCTTGACTAACATTTGCTTGAAATTTTTGCCACCATCCTAACCGAGCTACTCCATAAGCCTCTTATTTGTAGGTGTGAGAAACAAACCCGGTTCCAATTCTCCTATTGCGGCATTACATTGAGTGACTTGTTACATCCTCAATCTCCGGAGAAGGTAACTTTGGTATTGTTCTCTCATTTTCCTACTCACCCCACTTGGTTATGATGGATAGGCCAAACTCGTCGTCGAACCCACTTTTCGAGGAGCAAGGTGATGATTCCGGCTTCGTCTCCAAGAACCACTTCTTCATTGCGCAACGAGCACTTCATCAAGAAAACGTCGCATTGGGTGAACGCTTGGAGCAACTCGCCTCCGACCTTCGTCAAAACATCGACGACAAATTCAACACACAAATGGAAGAGCTCCGCAACATGATCATGCGACGCCCGTCTTCCTCATCCGCTTCTTCAAGACGGCGCCACTCAAGTCACCGTACAAGTTAGCAATCTTCGGACTACTCCTCTTATGATGCAAGTCCGCCACGAGCTCGCCCTCCTCAACGTGATCATCCTCAAGATCACCAAGCTCAAGAAAATCCATTCCATGGCAATGGCTTACAAGAGCGAGTTCGAGCACGTGAACGGATGCGACACCAAGTCCCTCATGGAGCAATGGAGCAAGAGCAAATACCTCCACAAGTACCACGTCAAGTCCCTTAAGACGGTGATGCACTTCGACAAGCACAAGAGCGTCGTGAAGCACAAGCCCTCGAACGTGAAGCTCAAGCACTTGAAGCACAACGCACACTCGACGAGGCCACTAGAGCCGTCGAAGACCGCAACCGACAAGTGCGAGAACAAGAGGAAGCTTTTTGTCGCGAGATACAAGAAGAAGAAGCCCGACGCGAAGAGCAACAAGAAAGGAACAACCAAGCGCACATTCCTCGCCCTCCTCCAAGACAAGAGAGACACCAAGTGGAACAAGTGCTTCAAGACCCTCCTCCACGCCAAGAGCGACATCACGAGGAATGAGCATTTGAGGACTTTCCAAGGCAAGAGCGATATCACAACCGCTATCAACATGAAGAACTCCGCTACGGCAAGCTCAAGTTCACCATGCCTAAATTCTCCGGAAGCAATGATCCCGAAGAATATCTCTCTTGGGCATTGAAGGTGGACAAGATTTTTCG